CAAAGCAGGTGACAGGTCCTTAGCTTCGAACTATAGACCAATAAGCCTAACCTCCATAATGGGAAAATTTATGGAATCAATAATTGCCGAGGCAGTTCGTAGCCACCTTGAAAAGCATAAATTAATCAACGAATCTCAGCATGGTTTTACAAAGGGGCGTTCCTGCCTTACAAATTTATTAACTTTTTTCACTAAGGTATTTGAGGAGATAGATCATGGTAATGAATATGATATTGTGTGGATAAATTAGACACATGTGCAACTCTTGGGTATCTTTATTGAGGAAACGTTTCGCCACACAGTGGCTTCATCAGTCCATACATAGGAGAAGCTTGAAGAACAGGAGGAGAATGAGGTAATCAGTCCCTCAACCTTGAGTCGATGTGTTCAGTCCATCAATCTTGAATAGAATACGGCATGTGAGCGGAGAAGCAGCTTATAAACCATATGGCAGGAGTGGTGCAGCAGTCTTAGGTGGTGTCGCATTTGTTCAATGTGGAAGTAGGTCATGCCCAAGAATTAGGCAAGCGAAGAATTCCTAAGTATTAAGATCCCAAGAAGTTGCAGTGTCTGACAGGTTGAACAAATGCGACACCACCTAAGACTGCTGCACCTCTCCTGCCATACGGTTTATAAGCTGCTTCTCCGCTCACATGCCGTATTCTATTCAAGATTGATGGACTGAACACATCGACTCAAGGTTGAGGGACTGATTACCTCATTCTCCTCCTGTTCTTCAAGCTTCTCCTATGTATGGACTGATGAAGCCACTGTGTGGCGAAACGTTTCCTCAATAAAGATACCCAAGAGTTGCACATGTGTCTAATTTATCAACATGTCGGTTCTCTGAACCATTCATCTACATGATATTGTGTATATGGACTTCAGTAAGGCTTTTGACAGGGTCCCACATCAGAGACTATTGAGGAAAATTAAGGCACATGGAATAGGAGGAGAAATTTTTTCCTGGATAGAGGCATGGTTGACAAATAGGCAGCAGAGAGTTTGCATTAATGGGGAGAAATCAGAGTGGAGAAGCATCACGAGTGGTGTTCCACAGGGGTCAGTGTTGGGCCCCATGTTGTTCACAATCTACATAAACGACATTGATGAGAGCATAAAGAGCGACATAAGCAAGTTTGCCGATGACACCAAAATAGGCCGTCGTATTCATTCTGACGAGGACATTAGAGCACTCCAGGAAGATTTGAATAGACTGATGCAGTGGTCGGAGAAGTGGCAGATGCAGTTTAATATAGACAAATGCAAAGTTCTAAATGTTGGACAGGAAAATAGCCATGCCACATATAAACTAAATAATGTCGATCTTAATAATACAGATTGTGAAAAAGATTTAAGAGTCCTGGTTAGCAGTAATCTGAAACCAAGACAACAGTGCGTAAGTGTTCGCAATAAAGCTAACAGAATCCTTGGCTTCATATCAAGAAGCATAAATAATATGAGTCCTCAGGTTGTTCTTCAACTCTATATATCCTTGGTTAGGCCTCATTTAGATTATGCTGCACAGTTTTGGTCACCGTATTACAGAATGGATATAAATGCTCTGGAAAACGTACAAAGGAGGATGACAAAGTTGATCCCATGTATCAGAAATCTTCCCTATGAGGATAGACTGAGGTCCCTGAATCTGCACTCTCTAGAAAGGCGTAGAATTAGGGGGGATATGATTGAGGTGTATAATTGGAAGACAGAAATAAATAACGTGCTGAAAATATCTAGCCTAGACAGGACTCGTAGCAATGGTTTTAAGTTGGAAAAATTCAGATTCAGGAAGGATATAGGAAAGCACTGGTTTGGTAATAGAGTTGTGGATGAGTGGAACAAACTCCCAAGTGCAGTTATTGAGGCTAAAACGTTGTGTAGTTTTAGAAATAGGTTAGATAAATACATGAGTGGGTGTGGGTTAGACCTGATTAGCTTGTGCTACTAGGTCAGTTGCCGTGTTCCTTCCTTAAGTGAATGTGACCTGACCTGACTAGGTTGGGGCATTGGCTTAAGCTGGTAGGAGACTTGGACCTGCCTCGCATGGGCCAGTAGGCCTGCTGCAGTGTTCCTTCTTTCTTATGTCTATGCCATACCTGGTTACACAGCCATACACAACTGTAGGGCAGATCAAAAAGGGGGTGGCACAGCTATGTACTACTCAGACCAGCTAGAATGTATCACTAATACTTGCACAAGGGATGAACATGGGGAATATATAATAGCTAAATTCAAATCCAAATACCTACAAAAACCTCTCACAGTGATAAACATCTACAGAGTACCACAGTCAAACATTAGCCGTTTTAGTTATAAACCTAGGAAGTATGATAACTGATGCACGCATGAACAAAGATCACTTACTACTCTCAGGTGACTTCAGTATAAATCTCCTACAAGACCAGGACCCACATGTTACTAAATTCACAAACACTATGAGTAACTGCATGTTGCTACCAACAGTAACAAAACCTACAAGAGTTACAGAGACTAGTGTTTCTCTACTAGACCACATCTGGACCAACACCATATCCCCCTTAAGATCAGGCATAATCACAGACCATTACCCTACCTTCCTCATAACAAACCTTGGCAAATTGCCCTTAGACACTACTAAAGTCACTTTCAGACTTCATAATGAGGCAGCTATCAATAACTTTACAGCATCAGTGACAAACATTGACTGGCACACTGAGCTAGAAATCTATACAGATATTGGCGAATGTATTAATAATTTTCTAAAAAAGACCCAATACCTCTATAACAAGCACTGCCCTAAAAAAAATAAACAGATGACTGCAAATAGACTGAACAGTCCCTGGCTAACACCCAGTATCCTCAAACATCCATACTTATTACTGCACCTACTACATACATAGAACACTTAACTCTGACATAAACCCTTCCCTTACCAACCTCAACAGAACACAAGACACAGATCACTCTTTGATGTTCCTCGTGTCCATCTCACGCTATGCAAAAGCTCAATGCACATAAAAGGCCCTAAAATCTGGAATTCATTACCTGTGAATATAAAAGAAACACTTTATAAATTCAAGTCTCTTCTCAAAAATCACTTACTCACCCACAACTAAATAATTGTATCTCATATATGTCAACCTGTGACCCAATCAAACTTTGTTACTATTTAACTTCATTACCTAACAGAATACTCCATTCTAGTGATTACACAGCAACACAGTAAATGACCATATGACCTGTCTTTGTAATAAATTGTTATCTGTTTTACAATAATTTTTGTACCACTGAATATATCATTGCTTAGTTAATCTTAAGCTGCCCATAATGCTATGCATTCAAGTGGCTTTGGCATGCTGCATTTAACTATATTTTTTTGTACTTCAATGTATCATGTTCAAATTAATAAATATGGATACACAAAAGGCCTAGGAACTAGACCCCCCCCCCCCCAAAGGGTTAACAGGAATACATTATTTTATTTTTTTTTTTATTATCACACCGGCCGATTCCCACCAAGGCAGGGTGGCCCGAAAAAGAAAAACTTTCACCATCATTCACTCCATCACTGTCTTGCCAGAAGGGTGCTTTACACTACAGTTTTTAAACTGCAACATTAACACCCCTCCTTCAGAGTGCAGGCACTGTACTTCCCATCTCCAGGACTCAAGTCCGGCCTGCCGGTTTCCCTGAATCCCTTCATAAATGTTACTTTGCTCACACTCCAACAGCACGTCAAGTATTAAAAACCATTTGTCTCCATTCACTCCTATCAAACACATGGATTTATATCTACAGTTCAATTATCTGTTACAAGCAAATTTAGGAAATTTGCTTAGTATATCTGGTATCTTATTTTCATTAATAAGATATCTTGACATGTCACATAGGTTATTATATTGTCTATATCTGTATTCCTCAATAAGTGGACAATTAAGCACATAGTGATCAAGACAGTGACCATATGCCTGATCACATAATTTACATATAGTTTGATCATCATCTGTGTGTCTCCCAAACTGCCAGAAGTACTTGTAACCAAGCCTAAGCCTCCCCACTACAACATCAGTCAGTCTGTTCACATTACAAGTTGCTCCATAAACATACTTATCTACATTCATGTTATCATAGTGGGTTATAGATATATTCAGCCTTCTAACTGCATTCCTATAACAATTATTTTCATTATTTACTTTTCTCCTAATATTATTCCTAATGCTAGACACAGATATACCAAAGTTATATTCTACAGTCTCCTTCTGGGTACTCTTCTTGACTAACACATCAACTTTATCATGAAGGAGTAATCCAATGTGTGATGGGATTCATAGCAATTGTGCATTAATTCCTTTGTCCCTGATTTTTCAATATCTATACCTGGCTTCTCCAGTGAGCATGTTGTTGGAGTATTGTATGAGTTAAGAGCATTCAGTGATGACATAGAATCAGTAATGATGATAGAGTCAACATAAAATGGGATAAGCTATCTTTTGGCTGCCTTCAAGAGGGAACTGGACAGATACCTAAAGTTGGTACCTGACCAGCCAGGCTGTGGATAGCAATAAGTCTGGTTGATCAGGACCTGATCTACCCAATTAGATGCAGAGGTGTTGACCCTCCAGGCAGGTAGACCACAAATAAACCTTCAGTAAAGGCATTGCCAATGTACAGGACCAGTTCTACTACTAATGTGACAATAAATATTTATTTCTCCAAGTACCACTAGTCTCCTATTAACCATTAATTTACAATTGGAACTAATAAGAGCTATGGGTCTGTGAGGAGAGGGATTGCAGCCTGACATCTGGTTTTTGGAAAGGCAGAACCATACCAGACCTTTAACTGTATGGATAATATTTCTGTAGACCTAACACAATTGAAGGATGATAATAATAGGTTTAATGCCGAAGTGTTACTGCAAAAGCACGAGAACATCAGACTGGGCTAACACACTGACAACTTTAGATTGTGTCAAGTGTCTATGATTAATAACATTTTATATAGGTGAATAAAATTGCTTTATGAATAAAAGATAAACTTTATTATGTTTTACAAAATAGGGAAAAACCAGTTACAAACTTGACATTTTAAATGATGTATGTGTCACCGTCGCCAAATTGTTGAAATATTGGCACGTGTATTTACATTAAAGGTGGTTCCCAAATTTTAATTTTATTTTGTAAAATCAAAAATATTATAGTTGTCTATTAAGGTCATATTTATTGTATGCATACCATTAATTCAAACAGAAAATGCTGTAGCATATATAAAAATAATATAACTATTTTTTTTTATAAAATCAGAAATACTATGATGTCTATTCGGGAGGTAGTTGCTATCAAACATTTATATAGTTGTTGCATAAGTAATTATCATGTATTCTTGAGCACTGTATGAATAGCCAGGCTTTCTTGCACTGAACAAAGTATTAGTAAATGCTCAGTTTAATGGACTAACAGGGAAAGAAACAGGTGGGGTGGATAGAGATGAAGTTGTTTTCCCATGATTGTTAATAAATAATTCTGTGACCAGCAGACTTTGTCCACTGTTTCCCAATAGATTCACCCAGCGGATTTTGTCCTGTTAAACTGAGCATTTACTGTACAGTACTAGGCAGTAAACATATAATATTTGTATAAGACATAACAAATTTGGTGAGAACTTTTCATAATTATCTGATTACACACTAGTGAAAGTAATACAAATATTTATAAGTAAGTGATAAGCAAACTTGTTAAAACCTTATACAATAAATTTTTTAAAATGAAACAAAACGGTGAACATGGAAAAAACTGAATTTGGCTGTTAAGATTATAATTATTATTCACAAGGAATTCCTTAATCCATAAGTGTCATTTAGCAGCTGTGAATTAAGCTAATAATCCATAATTTATAGTACAATAATTTAATTTTGAAAAAGCTCGATACGTAACAGGTAAATATAGCAATACTAAAAACAATGAAAAATATCATTTATAAAGCACAATCGAAAAGAAAATATAGTCAGCTGAAAATGCATCGTCAGTAAAACATTAAATATTAGGAAGACTTGTACATAGCCAGTGTATAGGGTAAGACGTCACCACCACCACCTTTGTCATAAACTCAAAATGTTATTAAATAGAACTTGATTAATACAGGCAGTCCCCATAGGTAAACCAAGTACAGTGGACCCCCGGTATTCGATGCATTATATCGCAAAAAATTTTCCTCGGTATTCGATACGATTCGTACGACACCTGTGGCCTGAACTGCCCCTTGTGTGCCAGTGTGCGCACATCTAAGGATACATTCCATATTATCACTGTGTTTGGTGCTTGTTTCTGCAAAATAAGTCACCATGGGCCCCAAGAAAGCTTCTAGTGCCAACCCTGTGGTAAAAAGGGTAAGAATTAGTATGGAAATTAAGAAAGATTTTGAAGGGTTTGGGGCTAACCCTGGGAAGCCTATACCAGTTGTGGAATACATTGTGCCTACTTCAAAAATTAAGGAAATGTGTGCACAGTGGGTTGAAGTGCAAACCTTTATGGATGAAAATCACCCTAACACAGCTATTACAATGACAATGTTGTGGCCCATTTTAGACAAATCGTAAAGGAACGGGAGGTACAGAGCTCTATGGACAGATTTGTTGTGCGACAGAGGTCCAGTGACTCTCAAGCTGGTCCTAGTGGCATTAAAAGAAGAAGAGAAGTAACCCTGGAAAAGGACTTGCTACCTCAAGTCCTAATGGAAGGGGATTTCCCTTCTGAACACTAACACCTCTCCCCTCCCATCAATCATCACCAGATCTTCATTAAAGGTGTGTCAATTATTTTATTGCATTAAACTTAATACGTGTATTTCATGTAGTAAAATTTTTTTTTCATACTTTTGGGTGTCTTGCACGGATTAATTTGATTTTCATTATTTCTTACGAGGAAAATTGATTTGATTTTCGATATTATCGGTATTCAATGAGCTCTCAGGAATGGATTAATATCGAATACCGGGGGTCCACTGTACAGGCAGGCCCCCACTTATACAGCAGGGTAAGTTCCAGGTTACTGAAAATTGCCGAAAAGTGAAACTTAGCCATTTTTCAGTTTCAAATATATATAAAACCTGATAACATGTGTAAATAAGAGGTTCTTTGCTTTAGGTGTCTTTTTTTTTTACCATTTTTCCAACAGTTATAGTGATACTGTGAGTAACAATACCTTGTCTCTAAAATCTTAAGATACTCAAAGAATATTTTTTCAAATTTCTTTACCTGGAGTGGGCACTGACCCCCAGAACCCTCTCCAGGTAAAGAAACTTACAAAAATATTCTTTGAGTATCTTGGCTAGCATTAAAAAAAAAAAGGGGGGGGGGAAGGTTATAAAAACTGCATTCTTTAATAAGATGAGTATTGTGGTTGAATAGAGATTAAACACTGACAATGCTACTGTAGATGTGGAAATCCAAGATTAGATTAGATTTTGTACAAGTTTAAAATATCTCAGTCTACTAACTGTGAGTTGGCATTTCCACATCAACAGAAATATTATAGTTATTTTACTCGCTTGTTGGAATTATTTTTGTTAATCTTATTTATTACAGTAATTATCATTATTATTGTCTTGTGCTAAAGTGATGGAGGATCGATCGTCCATCACTTCTCATGGGGTCCAGTGCTAAGTATACTGTGTTCTATATTGACTTTAGTTACTAAATTATATATATTTTTTCCAGGAAATTAACTCGACCTCTGCAATTCAGATTTTGACAAGACACGCAAACATGTACAAGTTATGACAGCAATACAAGTACCAGCTACAAACAAGCCCAACTTTCTTGGGAATTCTTTAGAGCCTAAGTAAAATCACTAACTACTGAGAAGGTAAAGGTAATGGAGAGTGAAGTATAAACTACAGGTATGTAGAACTTGTATAGTATAATGCTTTGGCAAAGTTCTTGTGAGTGAGACAGTCTAAACCCCTTCACTGCACTGCTGGTGCAGTAAAAGGTCTTTCTATTCCTGGGAGAATCATTATGGTCTTTTACAAACATTTAAATATACTCATGGGTGCATCTACAGATTTAAAAAATACTGTGGTATTCATGAGATAAAATCAGTAGTTGATAATGATAAAATCTATTTAGATAAATTTATCCATTTGGTGGAAAAACTATTTTGTTACCAGTTGGACAATGCAACTAATATTATCATTCGCTTTGTACATGGATAAGTGCTATGTCTATAATGATAGTGCAGCATGTAGCAAACGGAAGATAATCACATTTGATCCAAAGATCACCATCTTTCAAAGGTCTCGTTTCAGTTACCTCGCTAATTGTGCTTAACATTAAAAAAATGCTGAACTAAAGTTAAAATACTAAGATTAGTTACCAACATTGACATGACACAAGAACTAAATGAAGACTTCACAAATTTGGAAGAGAAAAGATGCTATTCAAACAAGTATTTTTAGTTGTTAATGCCAGTGATTCAATCAAGTAGAAAAGCACCAAGATTCTGCTGCTCAGTAAGAGAAGTTGCTAAACACTATCATATCAGTAGCTCTAGAAAGCCATTTTTTTTCTTTTTCCCCTGGGTAACATTAGTATTAATTGAGAACAGCTATATTGATGGATTACCTATCCCCCTCTTCCCTGAATAATATATTCAAGTTTTGCATTAAAACCTTTCTGGGTAACCCTAAAAGTGTGCACACCCCCAACAATCCTCCTCCTGCCCATGTATACAGTAAATTTAAGCTGCTCTACTGATATAGTATTAAACAAAATAACTCTTCATCTTTGAGGTAAGCATAACAGCAATGACATTCAAGACCCCAAAGAAGTCCTGGTAGAGGAGACGAGACATCCGCTTGGATACCAGCCACACTAGGTCCCTCCAAGTGTTCACCACCTGCCCATCCAGAATCTCTGTTACCTTCTCATCACTCCCAACTCTATACTGGTATTTCTTGAACTCGGTATATGAAAACAAAAGTCTGATCAATACAATCCTCAAAATTATTTGTTTAAAAGGTTTATGAGATGGGATGTCAGCCAGTGCTGACAAATCATTGACATAATTTAAGGCCCTTCCCAATCCAAACCTATGGAAGTGTTCATCTTTGTAACCAAGGCGACGACGGCGATGGAGCTCAGAGAACATGGTATCCATTGCCTCATGGGATGGCAGAGTAATCTCCCCTTGCATCACTGCCATGTAGTACTGAACCTGAATAAATATAAATTTCACTACATATTTTTAAGAGATCTTCTGGCCCCAAAAATTTCAATGTGTTTGGTTGACAACACACAGTAAGTAAATTCCTGATAAGTTGTAGTCTTTACTACCAGCTGTGTTATCATTCTGTCCCTTAAAATCTTTATATTAAACCTATACAGGTCATTCTGGTTCCTTCAAGTAAGGATAAAGTGTAGTGCATTTATTTTGTTTTCTGGCAGCAATTTTCCACCATAGAAGCATGAGCTAACAAAGGAAACATGTCACCATCACTCATTCAATAACTGTTTTGCAAGAAGTACATTACAACACAATTCAAATGACTCTGAACCACAGTGTCCACACCTAATATTCTGCCCTAGAACGAGTAAGGTGGGGCATGATCAGGTGTTAAACACCAGGTTGTATTAGCATTTTATCATGCAAGGAAAAAAAAAATCATGCTGACTGAAAGTAACTAAATATCTGTCATTGGCCTTTGCTCCATTTTTTAAATATGTTTATTATGAACACTTCTTTGTATATATATACAATACCTTTAATTTATGTTATTTACCATAAATGTAATTGTCTAAACTTCACCTGAAATCAGAGTTTCAACTACTAATAAATGCTTGCCATATACTAGCAAGATCTTCACAAAATATTTGCCAATAATCTAAAATTTTAATTATTCTCTCAGCGCTGTATAGCCCTTGTGGCTTAGCGCTTCTTTTTGATTATAATAATTGTTCTCTTTATATTAATTTAAGTTTTATTATTGATAATCAAATTTAAATTTTGGCTATTCCAGTGCTCATTTACACTGTACAAGGTAGTATTAAGAGGAGCTAGACATGTTTCCTCTGGAGAAGCCTGATTGTGATAAATATGTGGAGCTGGCTGATTGCTTACCAAGGAAGTATCTATACAGACCATGTTGCAGTTAACAGCTACACAATAGATAACAAAAATCGACAAATGGTGAATCAGAGAGAAACTAAGCCTTATATTTAAAAATAATTTGCCCACTGTGGAGTTAAGTACCCTGACAAAGCCCCACAGCAGATAAAATGTTCAATACTAGTCTTAGTGTCTTCAGTTTTATATAAATGCCCTTGAAATTCATTACATGTATACCACAGGCCTGTCTACAGTACATGTACACATGCCAGGAAGAAAAAAAAAAAAAAAAGCTACTGTGTGAATGTGAAAGGTATATTTCATCTGCATTTATTAAAATATACAAATTCACCTTATAACTGGTTTGAGTAACAAAAAACAAATTATATGTGTAGATTAATTATTAATTTCCCACTGAAAGTAAATTATTATTATTATAATCAAAAAAGAAGCGCTAAGCCACAAGGACTATACAGCCACTGAAAGTAAAGACATCCTTAAAAGAAAATCCTTCTCCTTTGCATGCTCATAACACACCCAAGCCTCTTACCTATTTATTTACAATATCATTAATATTGTATTTTTTCAGATTAAGGTTGCTGACAAAATGAATATTATGGAGTTGAGAAAGGGAAGTATGATAGCCAAGCCACCTTCAAGAATGCCAGTAATGGTCTGCATGAGTGTACACTGAGATCCTGCACTTGTTCCTTGAAATAAAATAATCAGTAATTGAGCAAAATATGAATCAGAGTATCAACAAAACCTGCTTTTCTTAAACACAACAATGTGGAACCTGTTTGCTTTAGCCTAACTTTATACTTTTTCATGGAGAAAGAGCATTTTTTCTGGGTCGTACATGAACTGAGCATAATAAATTATTTAACCTTTACAAAAGTAGTCTCTCCTGTAATTCTGTAACTAGACCTTTTGAATGTCATGAGTGAAGCTATCCTTGTTGCATGCACTGCATCAAACAGATCTCTTACTGCTTGGGGAAGAATTGGCAGTGCTGCCACCTTGGCTAAATTATCAGTGTACTGCCACTGTAATTTACCCATCTTATGGAAATGCTTAATATGTAATCCTTTAGTGATATGGTCTTCAAACTCATTTTTGATGCTTGCATTCATTTCTGGCTCGCTAGGTAGAGGTAAAGTTCCTGTCTGTGTCTTTAAATAGTACTGTACCTGGAAATATATTTAGATGAAATATTAGCCATAATTAACAAGTACAATGAAATTTCAGTTCTATACTACAATAGTCAAAAAAATTTTGGCTGAACATATACAAATAGAATTTCCAGTCCTTTTGAGTGATATTTATTCTGTTTACACCAATTTGTTAATCTCATAAAAAAAGACATTGTAGTGAAGTTTTTATTGGTACACCATTTCACCCACGAGTGAACTTTTATCTGATAACCTCGATTTGTGAAATGTTGTACCAATCAAAACGTTGCTTCATTAAGTGCCTTATTGCCACTTGTGTGAAGCAAGTTTTTGAGTAAATTTTCTAATCTACTTGAATAAATGGATGACTAATCTCAGGAAATCTCATATTCTGAAACACATGTAAAGTCATTATAAACAGTACTTTTTAAATGAATTTAGTACAGGGTTCCCCAACCTGCGGCCCGAGGGCTGCATGTGGCCCTTTTAGGAAATGAATGTGGTCTTCGTATGAAATTATGAATTCACTGGAGCCTACATGAAAGTGTCAACCAAACCATGTGGCCCTCATTACACACTTGTGTAGGAAGGTTGAGGACCAATGATTTAGTTTATGTAATGTTTGGTGAATTACCACATGTAAAGCCATTAAGCACTTTTAACACATTTCTACACCATACTACTACGATGTTCAGAGTCACTTATTTCTTCTTTCAAAGCACTGGCTGTATCCCACTGAAGCAGGGTGGCCCAAAAAGAAAAACAAAAGTTTCTCTTTGTAAATTTAGTAATATATACATGAGAAGGGGTTACTAGCCCCTTGCTCCCGGCATTTTAGTTGCCTCTTACGACAAGTCGTGTATTTAACCCTTAAACTGTCCGAACATTGATCTACGTTTTTTTTTACATTCTTTCTTGTGGAGAAAATCAAGGTCAGAGCGCTATACGCGCAAACGTAGATCTACATTTGGACAGTTTAAGGGCTAAAGATATAAATATATACAAGTACAGTGCCTGTGCTCTGAAGGAGGGGTGGAGATATGTTGCAGTTTTTGAACTGTAGTTAGGCATGCCTCTGACAAGACAGTGTTGGAGTGAATGATGGTGTTTCTTCTTTTTCGGGTTGCCCTGCCTCGGTAGGAAATGGCTGGTGTGTTAATAAAAGAAAATGTATATACATTATATGAAGGGATTCACAGAAACTTGTAAGCCAAAGTTGACTCCTGCATTCTGAAAGAGGAGGTGTGGCATTACTGAGAAAGGAGGGCCTCGTATGATGCTAGAGCGATCTGATTTTAAAGTGTATATTTGGAATCAGCATAGAAAATAGTACCCCTAGTGTGATTTTAAGTACTTTTGAAAATCCAGCTGAAAAACACTGAACTATAGTTCAGGAATTTTTTGGGGTGAAAAAAGTTTCTCTCTCAAAATGGAAAATGGTCATTATGACACTGTGTGTTGGATCAGTTGCTCCCCACAGACATGAAAAAATCCAGTAAATACAGCTTTCATGGAAGGTCATGAGACAAATGTGCCATAAAAGACGCGTCAGACAGGGAAGAACAAACAGCCTTGTATCATGCTAAAATGGTCTCTTTTATTCGTTAAGTGCATATTCGTATGTAGCATCAAAAACTGATTTGTTTGGTAATGTTTAGTTATTTATTGTAATTTTTGATGACTATTTTTTTAAGCAAACAAATGGACGGACATTAGGTTACCGATTTTTACACACAACAGTATTTTATAAATCTTTTCTTTCAACAAACAATACAATAAATATAAATATTGTATTTCCTGATAAATGTTTAAAGTACAATACATTATATATAAATTAATATACATCTCAACCTAAGTGGTACCGTATAAGAAAAAATTAAAGTGGACAGATGTCATGACTGACATCTGTCCACTTTAAAGTTTAAAAAAATCATCTAAAAAAGTAGGGTGTACACCATAAAGTTTTATGTGACAATTATTTCATTATAATGTGTGTGTTTATCCACCTCTTCATATCTAATGAAGTTCAAAACACTGGAAATTATTAAGTTATTTATGGCATAGTATAGGATGTAACCAGCAAAACTGGAGGTGCTATTGCATCACTACCTTAATCCAAACTACTCTATTCCCAACAGTTTTTCATGCTACTGCACCACCACCTTAATCAAAACTATTCTACTCCTGATGGCTCTTCCATGCTACTGCATCAGTACCTTAATCCAAACTCCTCTATTCCCAATTCTGACTTTTTTAACTGTATGAATAAACTTGCATACAAAGAAAGAAAAAAAAAAAGACTTCTTACTTCATTAAAAGTTACCCTCACACTTCTCAGAAATCTTTAAGTCACTAATATATACTGTACTAATATTTGTTTCTGACAAAAGTCTTTGGGCATGACACAATGGGATAATATTACTTGCTGTACCTCGCTTATTTTTGTTTAATCATGAAGAATGCAAGTACTTAGTGGTACCTCGGGATACGAACAGCTCAAAACTCAAACAATTTTATAAGTGTATTTTTGGGAGTCTGAAGTGGATTAATCTAATTTATATTATTCCTTATGGGAACAGATTCATTCGGTATTGGCACTTAAACAGCCTTCTGGAACAAATTAAGTTTGTATCCTGAGGTATTACTGTATGGTTATATCCTGTCAACCATTCTCTGTACTAAAATATGTTCTACAGACACCTATTTAACCCTCTACCTATCTAAAGTTCTATGCAATTAAACTTTTCCTGCCATATCCTCATTTTCTACTCCTAATTACAAGGAACCCAATGCAAATAATCATTAACTTTTTTGGGGTTATCCTAAGAAATTTACATATATGTTACTAGGTATGAAGATTGTATATGTACCTGTGCCTAAATAAACTTACCTGCTAATTTCTGTATAGATTGGAACCTCTTTCCTCAAAATTCACAA